TACAATTTTTCCAAAAAAAAAAAAAAAAGATATTCCAAAGAATTTAAGAAATATAAAACAAAAGGATCTATTTCCACTCTTATGCGACAAAAATACAGAAAGAGAGAGGTGGAAGAGATAAAAGAAAAGGGGGGGAGCGTAGATGGAGAATGGTGAAAAGTGGACTAATTCGAGGGTCGTGTTTGTGTCCACCACAGGGGGATCTCCGAGAAATCCTGACGTCTGATCGCTATACGGTAAACCGGTGCGTCACGAGGAACCGAGAAAGCAAGAATGCTCGATGTTAGCCCCATTATAAGAACTATACCCACTACTACTACTACTATACATATATATATATATATTATATGTGTTAGCATTTCGATGTTGCATCTCTGGAATCACTGTTTTATACGAAGCAATATATGTATATACATAGTATATATGTATTATGCGACAATTATTATAAATAGATATGTATATATGTGTGTATTATTCCTTCTTTTATTTTTATATTTTGTTGGTTGCCGGTGAAAATAGATGTATGTATATGTGTATATTTATAATAATTGTTGCGCCAGTGTTCACTGTATAGCCGCCTGCAGCTGTGTGCACGATTGTTCGCGCAAATGCTGTCTTTGGTAGGCGAGCTGATGATTTCTTTTTTCTTTCTGAAAATTATTCTTTTCATTTTGAACGTCGAGAGTGACACTATCGAATTCCCAGATCTACAAATTATCAAGTTGGAATTCCTAGACTTTCGTACTTTCCAGCTTTGGAATTCCAAAATTTCCGAATTTGTATGCTCTGGAATTCCCAAATTAGTTCAATGATTCAATTTCTGATCGACCGGGAGGAATTTTCGAGGAAATTGAATCAGCTGAATGTTTGATGTAGTTGAAAGGTGCAAAAAAAGAAAAAGCAAAGGAGAAATAGACTTTTTGGTTTTAGTTTTTTTCTTTTCTCGTTCGTCTTACGTGTCCGTTGAACACCATCGATGGAGCTTGCGCTTTCAGACATACGATACACGTTAGAGGAAACCTTTTCAGTAAGTGGAAAAACGAGTTTTTTTTTACGAAAAAGAAAAAAGATCAGGAATTTTTCACTGTGCTTTATCTCGCGGAAAATGTGAAAGAAATGTTTTCCTAGGATTTTTTCAACAAACACGTCCGGATGTTTCTGAGTAGACACGGACGATCGATGTCAGACCTCAGTAGAACCACTCAGCGTTATACGTGACGTGTCTGACTTATGACTGACCCTTTCTACTGACACGTTGAAATCCACCATACTTCTGACGAATTTTATTCTTTACGTTCCTTCTGTATTCTTCGCAGGTATCTTAGAGAATTCCTCGATCGTTGTAAATATCAAAAAATTGCGGAAATAACCTTTTGCAGTATGTTGTCATTTCAGGGATGAATAATTATACTCTTTTGAATTTTTTCAACGATATGCAGTATGTCCGGTTTATCTCAGAACACCGAAATATCTCGAAAACTACAGGCGATATAAAAAAATATTTCCCGCGCAATTTGGTCGAAAATTGTAGCGCATAGAGGTCGACATATTGCTCTGATGTTCTCTTGACCTTGCAACGAGCTTGCAAAGCCCTGTATAGGTCATGTTTAAGTTTTTAAATGGAAGCGTATATCTTTGATTATGTTTTCTTGTAGCTGACATCGAGTCGTTTTCAGAACACCGCGTATTTGCGGTTTTTGCGTAAATTATTATCGAGATATTAGCTTCCGAGTTTTACATGTTAGCATCTTCATCTTTCTCCGCGGTGCGCACCAAGCAACGCCAGTGCCGGCGGCATGCAAAACTTAGAAGCTGATATCTCGATAATAATTTACGCAAAAGCCATGCAATATTTTGAAAACGACTCAATGCCAGCTACACGTTTCCATTGAAAAACTTAAACGTGACCTTTATACAGGGCATTTCAAGATCATTGCAACTGTACTGTCGTCCACTGTACGCTACAACTTTCGTCCGAAATATGATTTTCGTATCGTTTGCAGTTTTCGAGATACTTCTGTGCTCTGAGATGAACCGGACATACCGTATGTATACGATGATTTTTTCTTATTCGCTCTAACGAGAAGTACACCATTGAATTTCTACCATTTTCGCGTTACACCAAAACGGCCAAATGAAACCTGAAGCAAACCCCCCCTCTAAACCACGAACCCCACCAAAACCCAACCGAAACTAACCAAATCGATAATTCTCTAACGAAAACTGGTGTTTTTGTATGCCTCTGTAACGGAAATAAGTACACTCTGCGATAATCCTGTTCACCTGTGTATGTATAGTACTATATGTGTATAATATCTATATATGTATATTTTTGTCACGCCCCCGTTTGCCTGTCCGTCTGACTGACCTGTCTGTTGTCAAAATTATCATATGAAGTAATCGAAAGTTTAGTTAATCAGCCCCATTATCCCCAGGTGTTATTAATGAATTGTTAATAAGAAAGAAAAGTTTGTCGAGCCTTTTTGAAAGTCGGGAAATTGAGAATCGTCCAGAAGTATGTATGATTCGGGGCTTGGAAATGGACAGACAGACAGACAGACAGACGGATGGCATTTTTTGCTAACTGTGTAGTACTGGTTCTACCTGGTAAGCTAGCTGTCGCTGTCTGTCTGTCTGTCTGTTTGTCTGTCTGTCCGCCCACCCTGTTACACCCACCTGTTCACGTATTACTATTTTTAAAGGTACAGCCCCGAGTTGTGGGGAGAGGGTGGAAATTTTGGAAGCTTTGGAATTCTTAAGTTTACAAACATTCAGATTTCGAAAGTTTTGGATTTCCATGATTTTCGAGTTTACGAAGCTTCGAATTTCCAAAATTTCCCAGTTCTCAAGCTTTTGCATTCCCAAAGTACCGCGTTCGCGAAGCTTCGAATTTCCCACGTTTCTGAATCCGCAAGCTTTGAAATTAGCGAGTTTCCGAATTCTCAAGCTCTAAAAACCAGAGCAACGATCCCTCGCTCCGAATAATCGAGACTGTACCTTCTTGAACCGTGCACACCATTATATATTATCTCTGATTTCTCACTCACTGTCACACGGCCAATGCTCTGGGTATGTCGTATGCTGGATGGATTAATTGATTAATTAATTAATTCATTAACTTGATTGATTGATTGATCGATTCAAATTAATTTTCGAAACCTTTGATTGAGACATGACTTGACTTGTTATTGCTCTATTACTACTACTACCACTACTACTACTATTACTACTATACTACTCTCTTTCTTTCTCTCTCTCTCTTTCTCTCTCTCTCTACCTCTCTCTCTCTACCTGTCTCTCTACCTCTCTTTCTCTCTCTCCGTACGATACTACCTATATACATATATATATATATTCTATTGTTGTTGCGATGTTGGTGTTGTTGTTTCTGAACCGTATACATATATATATATACATACATACATACATATATATTAAAACAAATATATATGTATATCCATTGTATTGATGTATTCTATTTATATATACATATCTATATGTATATATACATACATGTATATAACCACATGTTGCGTGAATATACGTGTGCGTGAGCTCGAGCAGTTTTTAAGATAAAAAAGATAGAGAATGAAAATGTATTACTTTCGAAAAATGTCTAGATTGTACACTTTAACATGTAGACGCCCGCGCACACGCACACTGGTATACAAATACATGTACATTTCAGCCAGCCAGCCTTACGCTTGGAGTGCCTTATATGTATATATATATACATATATATTTAACACGATCGTTATAGTTGGTCGAGAGCCCCCCTTCCCCCAAAGAAGTACCACTAAAACCACCCCCTAACAGACTCGCGGCTGCAATCGTTACCTCTGTTTGCTCCCTCTTCCGCTAAGCTCCCGCGACGCTGGCAGACCAACTTTACTAACATTCTCCGCATTAACAATTACCATTTACCGACGAACGTACAACCGCATTTGCCAAAGTCTGGCATGCGCAATTCCCGAAATCTCAAGCCTCTTCGGTGTCTAGGGCAATGTCTCAGGAATAGGAATTAAGCGGACTGTAGATCAGAGGATATGAATTTTTCAAGGAATACAAGCAGAACAAATGTAGCATAGAAGTTAGAATTATTCTGAAAAATAGACGGAGCAATTTATCAGAAAAGTAACAAAATTCTATTTCCGTGGGAAATCTGATTGTATTGTTTGTCTACATCTTCAGCAAATTGTTTCAAAATCTCTCTGGAGCCTTCGAAAGATTGTTCAGAAAATAGAAAAGGTGTAACTTGGCAGGGAAAGTATATTTATCGGGAAGATAATCAGGGAAAATCAGATTCTAAAATTTCTCAAAATTCTCAGAAAATTATTTCGATAATTTGAAGAAGAGATTTGATAGAGATGAAATTTTAAAGTTTTTCTGAATTCGAAGAAGGAACTATTGTGAGAAATACTCGAAAGAATTGGTTAAAACAATAGAGAAGCCAACGTTAATGATCAATAGCCATGGAAGGGGGCATTAAATGGAGTCGATTGCAAAGGAGCAGGAGGGGGTGGTTTAGCCGTGGGTCAGGCGATCCAAACAGAGGATGACAGTGGTGAATTATGTTTCAGGATTGCACTCACCGCACGAAGGACTGGCCGGTGGTTCCGGTCAAAGTATGTCCGGGCTCGCGTACTACCAGCCGGAGCACCCTGCCTCCACAGGGGTGGTGAAGTACCCCGAGAACGGTCACGATACATTGTCAGATTTCGTGACGTTCGTCTGCCAGGAGGCGGAGAATACACAGCAACTGCCCCAGGTAGCTTCCGGATCCTTTTTAAACCCGCCACCTTGTCCTCGTTCCAAACGAGAATATACGTTCTTCCAATTTAAAGATGTTATTCGAATATATATTTCACATTATTGGATCTTTGATTTACGTAGGGTCGATGTATTGGTAACAGGTGTAAATTTGTTATTAAAAATAGGAGTATATGGATTTAAGAAGTTTTAAGGACACAGTTAACCCTTTGCACACCATAAGATTAATAGTGAAATTTCTGAGAATCCAAAGTTTTGTTTTGACAAAGAAAAATGAAGGGATAAATTTACTTATTTCTATTTCTTCTACTGATTTGCATTATTTTGACAATATAAAAACACCTGAATTTTACATTTTAAAGTTCTCCGTGTCGCCATAACAGCGCCATTGGAGTGCAAAGGGTTAATATTACACTTATATGGAGAATATGTGCAATTATGGTGAACAAGTGGAGACTTTGCGAAGATAAAAGATGTTCGATAATGTGATACATTGTGTTATCAGTTTTGCTTTTACATGAACGTTCACATTTTTTTTTTAAGTATCCTGTATTTGTACCTAATGTTTGATTTATGCAGGACCAATTGGTACCAAGATAGAATTTTTATCAGAAAGTTGCATTTGGTGGATGTAACAATAATAACTGCTAAAGAGGATTGAACCAGGTGATGTATGGTTAGATGTATTTGGAGAACGTTTTCCCGAAAGAATTAAAGGGGACAAGGGGCGGTTCTCTGCGACCTGCATCGTCAGGCGTGTTCCAATCGCCCTGGATTTTTCGAAATTCGTTAAGAAAACGATCGGTAAAATTGCTGTTGTTTAATATGAAATTGAAAACTGTGGGGATAGCTTAGAATCAAAATTTATAGCGAAAGATTGCTTTCAACCCCTCGTTTGCGATATAAAGTCACTCCTAAATCTCTTCAAACTCATCCTATTCTAAACATCGTTCCATTGAAATGAGAAAAACTTCTATTTCCAATTCATCTGACACAAGCATCGAAAGAAAATCCAAATACACAAAGCCATCCAAAAAACCCTGAAAGCCTTCGTAAGATTACGCTGTCCCTCCGAAAACACTTCAACCAATTAAAAAAAAAGGAAGAAAAAATTCATATCACTTCGAATGTCCATTTGCACACAAACGAGGGGTCCATCGCCACGAAGTCTGAGAAAAGTTAAAGGAGAATGAAAGGATAAATAAATTTTACGATGGAGGGCTGAAAAAGTGGCTGGGATAAGTTGTAAGAAAACGGGGTGAATGGATCACGCGCGGGTCGACGATGTTGATCGGTGGGTGTGTGGTATTTCCAGGCGCAGCTAGCCGGACCCCGCACTGGCATACAAAAGTTCTCACAGTATTATCCGAGTTCGATGCTGCCGCCGCCGCCACCCGCACCGATGGCGAGGCCGGTCGCCATTATAAGGTCGACAGGCGAGCTGACGGCCGCGAGCTCGAACTCGCCCCCCACCTCTTCGACCTCACCTACAGACCCAGCCGAACTGGCGCCCAATCAGGAGCAAATGGCCGCCGCCGCGGCGGTGGGACTGGTCAGTTCCGGTTGCCAGAGCTCCGTCGATCCAGCCGGAAGGAAGAGCCCCGCGAGGATCCTCGTAACAGCGCCGCACACCAGCCGGGAGTACACGTTTGCTCACTTTCACTCTCAACCTGGACAGGTGTGTGCTTCGTTTCTCTTTCTTCTTGTCCTTTCTTGGGATTTTCAGTTAAAGTTTAGAACTTTTTCTGTCCTTACTTTCTTCAATTTATCGCTTTTGGTTCTTTCCGTTTTGTTCACAGCAAATATTCACGTATCCTACCATCAGCTCGATGTCAGGGGTGATCTCCCCAACGAATCTCTCCCTATTCTCATCGCCAGTTTCGGTGACGAGGCCAGTAGCCACTCAGAGATCGGTATCTAACGTGCCACCTCGTTGGAACACGGCACCGTTCATTAATTTAGAGGACGATTATAATATGATCGCACCGATCATCACTGGCACTGCCAGCGAGCCGCCTTCCGCCATGGACGAAGGTCAGTAACATTATCTAGGATTGTGATCTAAAACAGTTTTCATATTGCTCCGAGACCTTTCAATCTCAACAACCTCCAACTCAAACTTCACGTTATCCTCCTTCCAAATCTCCTAACCAAACCTCCTTCTATCATTCCAGAACGATACTTCCACCCAGTGCACACGAGCAGCGTGGTGGACAAAAGCGGCGCTGGTAACCTAATGGGCACAGATCTTGGTGTAGCCACGGATCCAACCTCTCACCATCACCAACAACAACCTCAACAGCCTCAGCAGCAACAACAGCAGTCACAACAACAGCAACAACAAACACAACAGCAGCAACAGCAGCAGCAGCAACAAGTGATGCAGGATAAGAGCGGCCGACCAAAGTCTCCTCCGTGACACTGGAGGCTTAGAGCGGAAAGCGTCGAGAAGCTCGCATGTTCCACGGGGTCGTTACTCACCGGCGCGTACGATAATTACTCTGAGCCGGAGGGGAATCGCCAGGATTCCCCGTGTCGTGTTCAGCTTCGCGACCTAAGCCTGCGGAGAATCGAGTGCCTGAGAGTCTGATCGTTAGTTTAAGACGGGAGCAGCGTCGAGGGATGATCGTGTGAGCCGCTTCCGGCGTAACAGGGCCCATCCGCCATTATGGTACCGCTCCAGTAACGAGCAACCAGGGTTAGGCCCTGGCTTCGCGATCTCTTTGCGGAGCTCGATTTTCAACCTTCTGGACTACTGTGCCTTTTTATGCTTCCTTTTTCCTTTGAATCGTTTTTTCTTAATGTTTACGTTTCAGAAACATGGGGACTCTTAGTATATCGATGCCTTGAAATCTTTAATTTTTCATTTCTTTGACACTTTACTTACTGTACTCTTTGGAAAGTTTGGTTGTGCCTTTGAGAAGTGTATCTTGATTTGGCGAAAATTGGAACCATTTGCAATGTATTTTTCACAGCTTGGTACTTTGAGAATTTCT